CTGCTGATTTCATTATTCCAGAAGTGAGGCTTTTTGGAAACTGCATCCTAAATGATTTATCAGAGCTCTCCCAAGACTTACAGATCTCATGACTGCCTGAGAACCCAATTGGGCAAGTTGAGAAGGATCTCCACAAAGGTTTTGCAAGTTTAATTTCCTTGGCAAAACAAGGATGTTTGCTCATTATCTTCAGACTTAATTGTTGGCTCTTCAGAGCTTTGTGCTTCTATTGCATCTCCTGTTCTTGCCAGTGTTGACTCCTCCAGTTGTCTGTGGTACAAGGTGCTGAGCTGAATTAAGGAGTCAGCACTGCAGGATGCACTGCCCTGCCTCAGATTTTAAAAAGGCTGATATTTGTTCCAAATGCAAATTTGGACAAAACAGACCTTATTCTCCTGAGCACAAGTCTCCAGATCTCCTCCCAGGCACATGCTCAGATGGTGCTTAGGGAAAGGGGGGGGGAGGGGATGATTCTTGTGGTGCATGCTAATTATGAAACAGATTTCATCAGCCATCCTTGCAGATTGGCCTCAAAATTACCAGAACCCCAAAGTAGCATTAAAACTGCCTTGTAAGAACAATAATGAATGAGCTTCAGTGCAGCAGGCAAGTGTGTCACATCCTGAGGGGTGCTGAGTGCTTGGGGTATGGTGCACTCTGGTCCTCATAGTAAGGCTTTTCCTCCATAGCACATCTCAAATATTAAAGAGGATGGACAGAGGCTTGGTGGCATTTCTCTGAGAGAGCCAGGGGGCAATCTGAAGGGCTTCAAGCTGTTATGATCACAACAGCTTTGCTGAGAAAAGCCACCCTCCAGTTTGTGCAGAGTCCTGATGCTCATGCAAAACAAAATGATCTATGTATTTATTTTTCCTTTTAAAACATTAGTTCTTTTTAAATGGTCATGAGCTGCCATGAGGGAGCTGCTTTTATGTTTTGCTCTAGAGTCAAAGCCCTTCTTTAGGCTTGGAACAGGCACAGACTGGTGCTCAGCTGTGCTGAAGGAGGAATGTTGCTTATGTTCTGATTACCTGCCCTATAAATAAAAGCCAATTATTTACAGGATGTAAAACACTGCCCTATTTTTACAGCACAAGATAAATGGTATTTCCAGAATTCTCATTGCTGCTTCTCCCACTGGGCTACCAGTAACCTGAGTGCTGTGGTTCAGACAGAGCCCTGGGCCAGGCTGCCCAGAGAGGCTGTGGAGTCTCCTTCTCTGGAGACATTCCAACCCCCCTGGCCACGTTCCTGTGTGATGTGCTCTGGGTGCCCCTGCTCTGGCAGGGGGGTTGGGCTGGGGGAGCTTTTCAGGTCCCTTCCAAACCCTGGGATTCTGTGATTCTGTGAAGGCTGGGTGAGGAGTGCAGCTGGATGAGGTGCACAGCACACCTGGAGCACCTGAGCAGGGCTCTGACCAGGGGGGACATGCCAGGAGGGCTCTGCTGTTCCTCTGTGGGCCAAGGGTTGCAAGTGAGTGTGTGATCACAGAATCCCAGGGGTTGGAAGGGACCTGGAAAGCTCCCCCAGCCCAGCCCCCCTGCCAGAGCAGGGGCACCCAGAGCACATCACACAGGAACGTGGCCAGGGGGGTTGGAATGTCTCCAGAGAAGGAGACTCCACAGCCTCTCTGGGCAGCCTGGCCCAGGGCTCTGGCACTCTCACAGCAAAGAAGTTCTTCCTGAGATTCACATGGAACCTCCTGTGCTCCAGTTTGCACCCACTGCCCCATGTCCTGTCACTGGCCATCACTGAAAAATGTGTGATGCCCCACACTGTGCTGTGGAGACCAAGTCAACCTCCTTCTCCTTCATTTAGAAGTACTTTTTTGGGCAGTGTCTGCCTGGCTGGAGTGAAGGGTCTCTCAGGCTGGTGTTTTGGGGTCACAGCCCTTCCAGGACAGGGGTTACAAGAGGGACACCTGGGCTGTGTCCAGGCTCTGTCTCTGGCTGGAATGCAGTCAGTGTGTGTTTGCCTTTGCTGCTCAAAGAGATCAGTGTGCATTGCCCTGAAGATTATTGTCTGACCCACAAAGGGTAGCAAAGAGTTTGAGATAAGTAGAGTTTTCTATCAAAGATGAGACAGAAACATCAGGACTCCCTTCTTTAGCACGTGGGCTTAGACTGGGAGAAGGTTGATCTCTCCTTGGCTTTCTTGGCTAAGTTATTTCAGCCCAACTCCTTCTGCTGGTTTCCCTGCAGGAAGGGGATGCCAGCAGGAAAACCATGGCCTTTCTGAACCTCTATTTAAAGAGCAGAGGTTTGCCAGAGCTGCTTGGTCAGCCTCCCTGCCCATCCTCTGTGTTCCCTGCCTCTGGACCTGCAGGAGATGAGCCAGGACCATCCCATTCTCTTCCTCCCCAGCTGCTGTGGCTCCTCCACCTCCAGCTTCTGTGGCATTTTCAAACCAGGCCCTTGATGGTTTGAATTTTAGGTCTATTTTAGTATGAAAATACCCATTTGAAGCTGTAATTTACTGCTGTCTTCTTAGAACAGTAGATAATGTTTGCTACCAAGTAGTTCCTCTCCATCAGAATAAAATGCTTTTCAGCAGGGATAGGGGGGATAATTTTTTGGATGTTTTGGGAGATGCTGGTTTACATATTTTATTTTCTTCCCAGTGTCATTTTAGAGGAGGAAAAATGTCGTGTTCATGTGCTTGGCTTTGTTAGAGCACCCAGGGGGTGCAGCTGGTTGTCACTTGAATTCCAGACCATATTTACTGAATTTTGGGCAAATTTCCTTAACCAGGCAAACTGAAAACTTGCTGGAAATTGAATTGCCACTTGCAAAACTACATGTATACATAATACAGACCTAAATGCAAAATGATGTATGATATGTGTGTGTATTCATGTCTATCATATATATATATATGCACACATATATGATTCAGGTGCCTTTCAAGATAATTTCTCCAACTGGCACCAATTCCCTGCAACTCCCTAAAAAACAGTAAGTTCTGAGGAACAAATTTGCCATTTCCGTTGTCATTTTGCTAAGCAAATGGATAGAATGTAGAGCCAGGCAGCCTTTCATCTCCAGAATCATAACATTTATAGAAAGAAAAACATAGAAACCGGTTTTAAATTCCCTGTTTCCCAGAGCTGTACAACTCTGGGAGTTAGGTAGAATTTCACTTGATTTTGTCAGATGCCCTTTTTTCCAGCAGCCCTTGCAGAATCCTTCAGCACTGCCCCTGGATGAGCTGGGACCAGGGGGGAAGAAGGACAATAACTTCTTATTTTTAATTCCCTATCTAATCTGTGCAGGTTGCACCCATTACCCTGCACCTTTGGGGGATGGTAATGAATTGTGTGGCTCTCCTACTGTTTCTCAGTGTGACCTTCAGGATGTTTCTCTTCCTCTAATGAAGTCTAGACCTTATTTCCCTCTGGGGATTTCTGTGAACCTTCCAAGTCTGTTTTCAGCTCTTGGATGCAGAAGGAGGACAGTGTCTAACACCCACAGCCAGGGAGCTGCTGTGGAGCTTTTGCTCTTCTGTTGCACAACAGGAGTTTTAACAGGGTGCCCATCTGAAGGGTGGTGGCAAAGTGCATTAGCAGGGGGCATTTGCAGCTTTGTCAAACCAGTGATGAAGGAACTGGCAGGTCATTCCCAAAGCACATGTTCAAACCCTAAGGAAAAGCAGTTCATCTAATTTTACCCACTGTTCCAAATTGTGGCTGCTTGGAATGAGATGATCATTCTAAATAGGCATCAGTTCTCTTCTAGTGGGGATTTTCTCAATGCTGTTTCTTTTCTTTCCTTTTCTTTTTTCCTG